CGAAGACGAATTGGCGCCCGGAGGCTGTAGGGGTTGGGCAACGAGTTAGGTCGCCATGACGACCAGAGCAACCCCCGGGACCCTCTATCGTTGGAGCTTGGTTAAAAGGGTGGCCCAGGGCGGTGTCGGACCAGGTTAGGTTGGCGACCCCCCCATTCTCCCACTTCCCTTATACTCCTCTTTATTCCCTCACCTCTCCCTTCCCCTGATACACCCCAACCCCAGTGTCACTCGATAGGAACAAGGACAGTGAATTCCTGGTTTCTCCCTTATAGCGGGCCAAGATGGCCGCTTCAACACCATCATGCCAATAACATCAGCATCATATCTCTTTCCCTCTTCGTCCATTCGTTTGCCCTTACCCTCTTAGGCATCTTCACATACGTTACTCAGGTAAAGCCCTTTAGTAACTCAACAGACACGATGAACTTTATCCTCCCTGATTTTCTTCCTCATGTTCTTCCGTCAACGCGTAATTAACGTTCTCTCCTGCCTCCAGTCCACAATCCTCACTTGTCTTACTTCAACCCCTACTTTGCCACTCCACACACCATCTTCATCATTATACTTTGCATGTTATCATCCACAATAGTTTGAGCATGAAAGTCACTTTCTTGTCTTGAGTGTCTCTGAGACTCAACTCTAAGCTCATTCCGATTAAATTTATAACTACCAGATGTTCTCCTTCAACTTTTCCAAATTATCAGGTTAAATTAGTAATTATTAGTTGCATTTGTTGTAGTAGTTGTTGTTGTGTACTTGTCAAGATGTTTTATTCGACTTTTTAAATAGTCGTATCAGTCGGCCTAAAAAGGAATAGAGTGGTCGACTGGTCTCTGATGGAGTGCTTCCTATCTAATTATTGGCCCGCACAGGGGATGTGTTGAAACTTCGTTTACAGGTTGTAGCTTTCTGATCAACAATAGGGATGCAATCAAGTGCTTTGTAATGCAATTTTCATGCACTTCCATTCTTCTCTGATACCAGGGGGTGAATGCACAAAGCAAGTGGATGGCTTTGTCACATTAATTATTGATAGCAGAACACATCAATCGTTAAAACTGATGGTATAATCTTTTTGGAAGCACCGAATCCCTGCATTTCTTGGTATCGAATATATCGATCAATGAAAATCGACAATCAAATTTCATTTTATATCCAGAAATTATAGGAGCACTAGAAAAATAATTACTTTTCAGAAATCAAATCACTAATTTCATGAACACTCACATATTTCAATGTAAATATTCGATACGTTTACAGAGTTCAATTTATTTATCGGGAATTTCCTTTTATCGGTGTTGTATAAAGTATGAAGTCCTACATTGGTCATATTAATTGGGGATATTTGACGAGCTTTTCTCCATATCATACAACCAATGATTTAATATTTCATATAAGATTTCATATAAGAATATTCATTTGTTGGAGATATTTGCTATTTATTTATTTATTACACATTTGTTATATTGAAACTGTCCTGAATTTTGACGTGAATAATTCTAATACTAATACTAATTTACCGTCACATAATTTTTCGATAACGTTAAAACGGTAATAATTACGTTAAACTGAAGTAATCAGTCAGGTTAATGTCGGCGTTTTCGATGATGCCACGGATTTACGGAACTGTCATGTCATTTTTCTATATTTTTTTTTCTTCATAAAAACGTCAATTATAAACATTTCGCTAGTCTTGTCCTATATTAAAATCGTCATGTCCATCTCGACGAGCATTCCTTATTGGTAAATAACAGGTCTGAGAATAATAACTGAAAAAGTAGGAACACTATTAAGCCACTCGTTTACATTTTACATTTTTTTTTAAATCCTCACAATAAAGAGCATTTTCAAGTGCCTATCACCTATCTCATCACTTAAATCCGATTGTAATCCTTCAAACGAAAAAAACATAGTAAATAAAAGCACCCCTTTATCTGCTTCCTTTCAATTTCCGCGACCTTGGGAGAAAATGCTCCTCTTCCAACACATGTAACAAGTGGTTTAAAAAATTTGAAATGGTAATTTTAATCTCCAAGATCAACAACGTCATGAGCAATCAAATAAAGTTGAGAACGGGAAGTTGAACAACCTACTCAATGAAAATCTCCGGCAAACACAACAGCAGCTTGCAGATACTCTCAGAGTCACTCAAGCATCTATTTATATAGAAAGTCGTGGGGTTCCCCATCAACTTACCTCGGAAAACAAAAGTCAACCCTGGGAAAA